TTTTGGACTGATGCACTGCAACACCCGCTGAGTGGCATTAAACAGCTTGAAAGATCAAAGACAATTTTTTATAAAACTCCGACTGGATTCGTCTGAAAGAAGAAAGTCATATACACCTAGGATGCTTCGAGAGTGAGTAAAACACAGTCTAATTTTCATTTTTGGGTGAACTAACCCTTTAAAGCTTTTTCATTCCACGTTGTCCCATGAAGCTCTCGCTGGATCCGCTTCTCGGCTATCAATGAGAGGAACGTCTGTATTTCCTCAACAGACCACGAAACAGCCATTATTTTGTTGTTTAAAAAAAGGTGCGCTCGTTCGAAACCGATGCGTTCATTCAAAAAAAGTTGTGTTCATTCCTCGCTGGCTATGCTATTTTAATCTAGTGAGTCTAGTGTCTCCTGTCGCAAGGTCAATGACGCAGGTAGTGACGATTCTCTCTGGCCAATCAGTGATCAGCAGTAGATATTTCAGGAGAATCCAGGTACTCCATCCTGTCCCAGTCAGAAGTGAAAGTAGGCACAACTGGTCTTCAACGAGCCCAAAAGAGCCCATGTTACACCTATCTTTATCTCCTTACACTGGCTACTGGTTGCGGCTCGCATCAAGTTCAAGACATTGATGCTTGCATATAGAACAGCCACAGGCTCAGCACCCGCTTACTTCCACTCACTACTACGAATCTACATCCCCTCCAGAAGTCTGAGATCCGCTAGTGAGCAACGTCTCGTGGTACCATCACAGAGAGGCTCAAAATCACTTTCCAGAACATTCTCGTTCACTGTTCCTGGCTGGTGGAATGATCTTCCCACCCCTATCCGGAATGCTGAATCCCTGACAATTTTCAAGCGACAGCTGAAAACTCATCTCTTTAAACGCTACTTGACTTCATCTTAAAAAAAAAAACTTTTTCTTTCTCTTTATTTATTCCTTCCCTTTCTAGGTTGTACTTATTTGAACAATGCCTAAAACTTGGTATTACAAGCACTTCCTGTGTCTGTTTGCCTCTTTAAGAAGAATCGCTTTATGTATTCCCAAATTGTAAGTCGCTTTGGATAAAAGCGTCTGCAAAATGACTAAATGTAAATGTCTAAATGTATGGCGGTAGCCATCCTGTGTGTTTGGGTTACTCACTGCTCTGTTACTCAAGTCAAGTGAACTCTCTGCTTGTCCTGTTGTGGCTGCAGAGGCCGCTGTCTATACTCTCTGTTCCAGTCCCGCCTTATCCGCCGTGGTGGTCCCCGGAACCATCTGTTCCACTGAAGTGGTAATCTGTTCCACCATGGGGATCTTCGGTCCTGTCTGCTCTGCTGTGGTAGTCTCCTGCTCTGCCGGCTCCGCCCTGGCTTCCTTCTCCGCCAGCTCTGACCTAGTGGTCTTCAGTCTCACCTGCTCCGCCCTGGCTTCCTGCTCTGCCGGCTTTGAACTGGTTGTCTTCTGCTCCGCGTGGACTCCCTGCTCCACCTGCTGTGCCACTGCTCCATGGCCCAGGTCCTCCACTGCTCCATGGTCTGCCACTGCTCCATGGTCCAGGTCCTCCACTGCTCCACGGTCTAGGTCCACCACTGCTCCATAGTCCAGGTCCTCCACTGCTCCACGGTCTAGGTCCACCACTGCTCCATGGTCCAGGTCCTCCAGTGCTTCACTTTCCAGGCCCACCTCTGCTCCACGGTCTAGACCTGCCCTTGCTCCGGGGTCCAGCCAGGTTCACCACTGCTCCACGGTCTGCCTCTGCTCCACGTCCCAGGTCCACCTTGGCCCCACTGCCCAGATCTGCCACTGCCCCATGGTCCTGGTCTACCACTGCTCCTCCGCTCTGATCCTCTGCCATGCTATGATTCTGATCCTGTTCCCCTGCATGGGCCTGGCCCTCCATCCCTCCCCCTATTCACCCTCCACTCTACCACCCTCCTGGACTTTTTGAGTTTTGTTTGGGTTGGGGTGGGTGTTACGTTAGGGCGTCTGAAGCCGCCTTTAGATGGGGTATATGTCACGCTGGTTTTTGGATTTTGTTTTGAAGGTTTTCTTTCCTTGTATTTTGATATTTAACCATGCTTCATGTTCCTGTCATGTGTTTTCCTACCCTGTTACATGATCCTGCTATTGGTTCCTTTGTTCAATGTGTCATGTTGTGATTGGTTGTCTTAGTCATGTGTCTTGTTTCTCACTGGTTGGATTGTGTCATGTGACCGATATTGTTTGGTATAAGTAGCACTCATGTTGCCATTGTCTCTGGTCGAGTATTGTTCATGTAACCCTCTGTTGGAGAGTCTTGTTCATGTTTTTGCTAAGCCAAGCCTTGTTCATGTTTTTGCCAAGCCAACCTTTGTTCATGTTTTTGGTCACTGTTGGATTTTTAATAAACTGCACTTGGGTTCATTACAACTCGCCTTCAGTGGACTAATTGTTACACCTTTTTCCAATCTTCTACTGTCCAATCAGTTTCCTGTTCTTAGCTGACAGCTCTTCTGCATACTTCCTTTGTAACGAGTGGTTATTTGAATTACTCTTGCCTTTCTATCAGCTCGAACCAGTCTGACCATTTTTCTCTGACCTCTGGCACCAACAAGGCATTTTTGCCCACAGAACTGCCGCTCACTAGACTTGTGCCGGTATTCGGTAATGCGATATATCACGGTAATGAATATGCACGATATTGTTATCGTGGGCACTTCTAAATACCTTGAATAATTATATATTACAAATTATTCAGAATTGTGAATGCATTTTAAGAATACTTTTCCCATCAACTGGTCAAAATGGATGTAGCTATTGCTCATTGTGAATGTTAATGCATTAACTAAGGTTAACTAATGAGGTCTTATTGTAAAGTGATACCTATTGGTCTTTATAGTTCTTTTGCACTTTAATCTGTGTAAAACTTTTAACTTTATACATTTTTCTGTATTGCTTTATTGCATTTAAATGTTCAGTTATTTTTGTTATAAGAAAAAAGTTATTAAACCTGTTATACTGTATTATGAGAGCACTTTTTTAAAACAAAATGTCAATACCGTGTTAATACCGTATACCGTGATAAAAGCATTAGCAATTAATCGCAACATGAAAATCTGATACCGGCATATCCCTACCGCTCACTGGATATTTTCTCTTATTTGGACTATTCTCAGTAAACCCTAGAGATGGTTTTGCATGAAAATCCCAGTATATCAGCAGTTTCTGAAATACTCAGACCAGCCAATCTGGCAACAACCAAAGTCACCTTTCCTCCCCGTTCTGATGCTCAGTTTGACCTCCATCAGATCGTCTTGACCCTGTCTACATGCCTAAATGGATTGAGCTGGTGCCATGTGATTAGCTGATTTGATATTTGCGTTAACAAGCAGTTAAACGGGTGCAACTAATAAAGTGGCCTGTGAGTGTATATACACATAATTAACTAATAATCTAGATTAGTATATATCTTGTTCTCTTTTTCTTTAGCCTGCTTTTTTCTGGATTGCTCTTCTCTCTAGCTTGAGCAGTGACTAACGACTAATGAATGTAAATTTAAGACTTTGTATATATAAATTTATAGAGTTTGTATTTCTAGCTTTCTGTGCTTTTCTAAGGTGTGGGGAGTTCACTTTTAAATAACTCCATTAATCCTGCCATTATTCACACTATGTCAGATATTATTTTAGACCATCACCAACTGACTTTATTGCTAAAGTACTATATACCCTTCACACCAAACACAATTAATTACCAAGAATATCCTGCACTAGTAACATTTTGAATAGAAGCTATGGATACCTACGGAGTTATGTGAGCATTTTGGCAGAGTGGAAAATTAGACAAAAAACAATAACCAATAATTTTCATTGTCCTTGTGACGTCAGTCAAAAAGGAGAATCAGAGACTGAATGAGATTTCGGCAACAGTTAAGTAGATAGATGCTCATTTTGATTTCATGTTTGCTTGAAGTATCTAATTCAATAAAACTAAAAAGATTTTCCTGTACCGAGACTTCCTCCACCACACGCTTGGAGAATGCGGCGAGCTCTACTTTTGGCATCTTCTGGAAATTTGCTGTCTTCAAGAAGATCTGGATAAGAGCACAATGCCAAGACCTGACAAATAAATGGAGCATACGTATAGTATGTACAAGAACTACTGCTCAAAATATAGCATGACATGCAAAATATCTCGTAAACACACCTGTCTGAAGAAGGTGATGGGTTTCTGGCCCATAGCATGGCAGTCACCGATGTTGGCTTTAATGACCTCTGTGAACGGCTTCTTTATTCCCTACATTGATGGAGCAGTTAATGAGAAAGTAGGAAAGGTAGGAAAACAAAGAGAATTAAAGAAAGAAAGAAATAGGAAAAAGAACAGAAAATGTATAACTGGGCTTAAATAATTTGAGAATTTTCATCCAACTATTCCTTAAAAGAGCTCATTATATTTTTTTCACCAATTTCTGTAAATAAGTAAATTAGACAAATTTGCATAAAAGGTGGGTTACAAAAATGAGTAAACCCTTGATTAAATTCAACAAACGCGTAATATTGTTTTATGTAGGATGTTCTCCATAACTTTAAGTACTGTATACTGCTCTGACCCTTTAGGGTACAAGTACAAGTGTACAAGTTCACAGCAAATTGTCACATCTCCTAGAGGTCAACCTCCTTGAGTACCCTGATGTTTCATGGAGGGTGTTGCTCAACTTGTCTCCACAAAATTCCCTCACAGGTGCTCAACTGTGATTAGGTCAGGTGAAATACTTGTCTAAAGCAGGATTTTCACCTTGAGCCACTGTCATGTTGAAAAAGTACCTAACAACTTTAAGGCCCCAATTTACTTCAAGTGAAATCAAAGACCGAAATGGTGATGTCATTTCGAAATAGCATGCCAAACTTTCCAGAAAAGTTCGCTCTGGCTGGTAAACACCTTTCAGTCTACACCTTAAATGTCTACCACCTGTAAACCGAAAATGTCTGGACAGTTCCACAGGTGCATGTGCAATAATTCTATATCGTTTAAACCCTTTCCAATAAAATCTATAAAGCTTATTTGGATTTTATAAAAATGTTAATAAAAATGCAGTATTCCAAAAAAGGGACAGTATCCATAACAATATCATAAAGGAATATTAAAATATGGTGAAAAGTTTTCATGGCAAGCCTATGCCCAAGTACTGATAAAAGGCTAGAAATGCTCCTGGCTGCAACACTTTCTTCATACTGCAGTTTATGGCACTGTTGTTACTGGGGGAAGAGTTTTGAAGTACTTCCACTTTTGGATACACAATATTTTAGAAAAATTTATATTTTAGTCAGAATTATTGTGCTCTGTTGTCATTCTGTTGTGCTCTGTCTGTTTAACGCATATGCGCACACTTAATGCTCGTTCTGTGTAGTCTTTGAAGTTTAACGAAGACTCGCTGCCTGGACAAGCCTTTATGCAACATGGAAGTACTCACGTGAATTTCTAACATTTACAGACAAGGATGTAACCATAAGATGCAAGTTATGCAATGAGAAAAAAGATCTCAAATGCATTTATCAGCACATGCATCTGACAGGAGGGAAAGCCGCTTTAAACTGTATGAGTCAGTTTGAAGCACGTCTCATGTTTAGGACAACTTGACTAAATTAACTTCATTATTACACTTTCTGGGTGGACAACAACCATGCATTTCATTGCATGTCTTTGATGTGTATTTAATTCTTTGGAACTCTGCTAACCAGATTAGACAATTCTTCATTGATCTAAATGTTCTAATATTATTACAATTATAATCACATAGTATAACCATAAATTATGATCTGTATAAAGGCATTATGAATGTTCCTCATATTTTTCATAAAATATACTACTATAATATTAATTTAATATTAAGTGCAGGTAAGTTCAGCTTTTCGATGTTTAATAATCACTCAAGATATGTTTAAAAAAATAACTAAAATATGTAAGAAACAGGAGGTGTCATGCAGAGAAAATGTGCTTGCAGAAGATAAGAGATCATCATCTGTGAGAAACTGTCTGACAGTGGACAGCCAACAAAAACAAACTGTACAGAGAATTTGCTTTCTAGAACACTGGAGGAACATCACACAAACCTTCCTAAGCAACGTAATGAAACAAGATAATACAATTTTAGAAAGTGAACAAAAACTTATAGGTACAACACTAATGCTTTCATAACCACTTGATGTGTTAAAAAATTTTTACAATTTAAATGCTCTGATTATATAATAATAATAATACAAATAATAATTGTTATTATTATATAATCACATAAATATTACTAAATAGAACTATTAAACAAAAAAGTATAAAACAAAAATAGAGTATTTAATAAAATTACATAATAATAATAATAATAATTTGTTGATACTTCCAATGCTTTTGCATATTTTATACCTTTGTGCATGTTCTCAATAAATTTATCTAGACAAAAATAAAATAATTACTATTTCTGAGATATCCAAAATCCCCTCTGTAAAAAAGAGTATTTATCCAATGTTCAGATGAATGTTTTGGAAATGTATGCAAATTATTGCATATTTAATTATATGTAATTTGCATATTTAAACCTAACATTTCAGAAAACGTGTAATACAATTTTTTTTTTACAATTCTTAATATAATCAATCAACTGGAAAAAGTATGGTGGTATATATTAATTACATTTTTACCCTATTCAAAGTCAATGCCTTTCATATGAAATATGATCCACTGAGCATATGCATCCACTGAGAAACAAACTACAACAAAGCCCTTTACTATACAACATCTCTCAGAGCCTATGGATTCTTATGGAAACGTATGGATTCTCATATGTTTACTTCAAGTTTCTTTAAAGAGAAATATTACTTTTCCTATTTTTACCCAAAATAGTGTGACGTCAGCATTACTGACTGCTAAACATCTGTAATGTATGTTTCATTCATACCAGAGTGCACGGTAAATATTTATTTACTATAATATTCATATAGAATTCATATATAGAATTATATAGAATTGTTGCTGTTTAATTTCTTCTTGGAAAAAAACAACAACTTGCATCTCTACTAGGAAGAAATGCTGTTTTAATTAATTTCTCATTAAGTGGTAATGTGAGGGAAATTAATGATTGCTGAGTGAATATGAGTAAATAGTTCAGCAAATGATACAGAGCCTGTTAAAACAAACTACCCTGCAGTACATTTGAGCATATTTTCTAAGAGTCAGTGTTCTGAGTGGTCGTATAAGTTACAAAGAAGTGAAATTGTATTTCTTTGTTGATTATTTGAGAACAATTTGGAAAAAAAAACAGAAAAGAAGCGTTTCTTGCGAAAAAGAGCAAGAAGTGTTTCTTGAGAAAACAGATGTCAGACTTGTAACTTTACCCTGTGTGACATAATTTCCTATTTCTATCCCTAATATGACGAGATCGGGCATGCTCAGGGTGGTAAGACTGTAAGCATGAACAAAACAATTATCGCTGTATAAAAAATGCAGATAGAGACATTTTTACTGATGAAACAAGAAGACAATGAACACACAACAATATATGGATTATCTGTACAGTAGTAATGTAAAATAAAGTAAATGCACAGTTTAGTTGTCGCCAGGGCACAGTAGGCTACATATCAAGATCAATGGAATTACCACCATCGTACCACCACAGTATCTAACTTAGTTAAAGCTTGATTGTGTTGAGATCACAGGTAAGACTCAGGTAGGTAGCTCACCAAGTTTTAAGACACAGCCATCATCACTATAGTGTTATCTAGCTCATTTCTATCAGACTGTTTTCTGTGTTATGCAGATTTGGCAGTCACGGCAGTAGTTATATAGTACATTTAGGTGACATTGAGATGAACGTTAAAGATGATTAAGTTACATTTGTCAAAATGTGTAATACACAACAGAGCTCATAGCATGGAATACTTTATTCCACAATGCAATGCACTCAGCCTTGCATTTCCAGTATGAAGACTGAACTAGAAGTAGTATCTCTTTCTTGACTTATTTTCTGTGTCTGAAACTTAAGGTGACCTCTGCCAGGTCAGTCAGCGACTTCACACACAGACTTTTGAGGCACCACAATGTCTAATAATCTTAAAACAAATAAAGTTATATTTGGTGACTACAAATCATAGGGGAGCATGGGGCACAAAGTAATGCGGGGTTAGTTGTAACAAACATGGTTTGAATATTTCCACACATGCTAGCATAACAAAATTTACAGTATTTATTAGTTACCATATCAACATTATATAGAAAAAAATTCAAAGATATCAATGAACATTTATTTTACCATAGTAAAATTAAAATTCTGGCTTAAGTAAATTTTCCATCTCTGTTTTTATTCATCATTTAAAATGAGACAGTGTTGTAAATACAACTTAACCACTGATTTCTAGTTGTGTCCTCTTTTGGAAGACCAAACAAAGTAGTTTCGCTTCACAAAGAAACACACACCGTCACACATTTCTATGACATTAGCGATGTAATTTACACTATTTACTTTAAAGGGGTCATATGACGTTGCTAAAAAGAACACTATGTTGTGTATTTGGTGTAATGCAATGTGTTTATGCTGTTTAAGGTTAAAAAAACACATTATTTTCCACATAATGTACATTATTGTTGTTCCTCTATGCCCCGCCTTTCTGAAACGCGTCGATTTTTACAAAGCTCATCGTTCTGAAAAGCGAGGTGTACGCTGATTGGCCAGCTATCCAGTGTGTTGTGATTGGCTGAATACCTCAAGTATTTGACGGAAATGTTACGCCCCTTATAAACAGGTGAATAAAGACTGACAGTCAATGTTTAATGTTTAGAAATTATTACCGGTATTTCAAGACATGTAAAGCATTTTTGCTCGTTTATATGGGCCATCCCAAGCATGATTGCAATGTGTTCATTTTCAAACTCCAAAATCAGATTATTTTTAATTCTTAAAAAACGCCATTATTTTATTTGAAAAAAATAATTATTTTATTTTATTAACAAAATATTTCAGTTTGTCTTGTATATTTTTTTAATTCGATCAGATAACATTTTAAGCTGTTATATGGTCATATTACAACGTGCCCCTCGGATGTTACAATGTACCCTACCTACGGGGCATGTTGTCACATTTCACTTCCATTTTTTGAGGGTAAATAAAGAAAAACGTATACACTGTAATCATGAAACAAAGCGACATATTTGTACTAGACAAGTGTAAAATTACTGTGGATAAAAATATTATATTCTGAACCCCATGTGGATTTACACAAACTGAGAAAGTCAAAAAGTGTTACTTTGTGCCCCTATTTTTCAATAGGCAAATGCACATATTTCTTTCAAAGCTCCTTTAGGCTGCATTGTATTCTTACAGGATGTTACACAAACACTGGATTCATACATGCTTATTGTTAACACTAATCCAAAGTTGGTTGAAATAATAATAATTAATTATTATTAATATTTCTGTGATGATAACTATGTAAACTAAATCTGCCACAATGCAGATTATATGATAACAATATACTAGGCTACTATATGAAACGCTTACCGCTGTATATGGCATTATAATGTTTCCATACTGTTTGGAAACGAAACATAAGTATGCAGTATACTAGTACTTAATAAGACGGCGGTGTCGACTTTTATAGTAACTTTAAAAAAAACTAATAAATAAGTAAATAATTCGCTATCTGATTGCCTTGCGTGGAAGTTTCTGACCGCCTACAAGATTTGAATGATTAGTAGATGAACTGACACTCACCATCTTGAGTTCTCTTTCGATCTGAACTGCCCTCTGGACTATGGGACCCCGTACAGCGTATTCCACGCGTTTAACGTTCGGGTTCATCGTGTCCATCGTCAGCACCCTGTCACGGTATTCACAGCCGTTCTCAGTCATTGTATCTCCGTGTATTCCTTTTCAGAGAATTTCTGGTGAAAAACATGGTGATAACAGAACAGACGTGCAATACTCAAATAATACGGCAGTAATCAAGAACGTCATATGCATGCACATCCTCTGTTTCCCCCTTCTTCTTTCTTCTTTCTTCTTTCTTCTTTCTTGGAGGAGACAAATTGACACGTGTGCGATGGCACCTATTGTATCCGTTAGTTTTCTTCTTCTTCTTCTTCTTCTTCTTCTTCATCCGCTCTTGATTCTATGGTAGCCCATAGAACTTTTGGGAAAGTTATCAAATCTGGTACATAGATAAAGGACGCCTTTTAACCATAGCAAATTTGGGGCAGGGCTCCAAATCACTATAGGCGGAGTTGGCAAATGCTAGGGGGGCTGTGCATCCATATGTGCGCTCAATAGATTATTT